AGGAAGAAGGTGAACGAGATGGTCAGGATAAGGGAGGAGAACTATGACGCTGATATCCTCAATGCGTTCTGCCAAGTACATTTAGACACATGTACTTCTTTCAAAGGCGTTAATCATGAACTGCTTCTTAAGCACACAAACTGCAATTTTTATATGCATTGCTCTAGCAAGCTGACCAACTGCATCAAAAATTGACCATTACAAACAGGAAGATTAAGGTTGCTGTGCATTCTACGGGACCATTGAGTTGGCAATGCATACCATTTTGTAAGGCACGAAGATCTGAATTATAGACACCAACGTTAGCTGAAAAATAAACGTTGAGCATGCCTTCAATTCCAAACAATCCTACTTGCCTGGCTTTTTTAGAATGCATTAATTTTAAAACGGGTTTGCTAAAGCTTCCAAAACTTACTTTGTAGCTCATTTTTTTTATAATGCGCCATCACTTATTTCAAGTTTAACATTAAACAGTGGAGGTAGTAGTCGTTAACACGGAAGGACAGACACCTTGGCCTGTAAGCCAGACCACAAAACTTAGATTAGAAATTAGCTGTTTCAATGCTTCAATGACTATTCTAGTCAGCAATGGAGGTTTTTTAAGATTTTGAAGCTGTTTGCACTCATATGCAATGATATACAAAGCATAAAGCAGACATCAATTGCAAAAACAGTTGTCTGTTCTGTGTTAAATGTTTTGTAGATTATAGGCCTCCACATTTTGCGGTTTACACGTGTATTTGCTGCCAGAAACATGCCGCTGATTTTCAAATAGAAAAACCAGTAGACACGCAGTAAGTCGATTCTAGCCATTTGCGCTCTCATGTTCCAGCTCATGATCAAGATGATTTTTGCCTTTTTACCTGTTATATTTCTGTTAATCATTCTAGCAATATTTTTGTTTAGAAGCTTCACCGGATCTCTCTCCCGCATTGGCTGTATAATGCTATTATTTATTCGTGAGTTGCATTTTAATCTTAAACAATAATTTAGTTGTCAGAATAGATGCTTTAAAGAGGTTCCGAGTGATTGTTTTTTAAATAAGGGGAAACCATAAAGGCATCTAAGATAGCCGATACAAGAAGTTTATGCACGAGTAAGTAAGGTGTTTCATTTTCATTTGCCTTGAATAGCACAAAATTTTATAATTTAACAGAAAATTTTTATGTTATATTAATGCATCCCGCTTATTTCACATTTGCTCTATTTTTTAATAAAAAACACCGCTTTTTGTATTGCTATCCACAGAGGACATTAGGCCGTGTCAAATTTTGCCCTGCTGAGTGTTTACTCTTTAGTTAAGTAATGCTGCTAGTAGGCACCACCATGTAGCTGCTTGTTTTCTCTCATCTCTCTGCAGCTGTTCATTTTTTGCTGGTAATGATAGGTGTACACCGTCTCCTCGTTCACATGTAAGTTGAACTTGTAGAATTCCATATCCACTTTAAATCCGACTGATACTCTTTTAAAACAGCATGCTCATACTGAAAATTAGTCTCATTTTCTGATCTACAGGTCTACAAGATCAGGGGGCTTTCGGAAGCTCTTGGCCTTCTAATTATCTTCTACTCTCTTAAACTCTTCGATTCCAAGCAGCTTCCTAATGGCCAAGCCCGTGGTTATACCAATTGTGACCCAAAGTAGAGAAAGATGTTCAAGAAGTGATAAATATTGATGCCATTGTCTCCTTTAGAATTTGCGCACTGGATAACAGGATTGTTAATTCAGTAATAAATAAATGAAATCTCGATCACCTGATCAAAGACGGTAGACAAGCCTACGGTGTTCATGACATTATTAGACCCAAATTGAACACTGAGCATTTGGAATGCGCCTAATCAGATAATCACTTGATGTGGGTTTAAATCAAGTTTCTTTACGTCAGCAGGTGATTTCTTAAGCAATTACTTACCTTCGTCAATTTAACATTCCTTAATTCTATACAACCACCCACCCATTGCAATTTAATTTGAGCTAGTGTTCGGTGCTTACAATTAATTTGGCCGATTCCATTCCGACTCATTTTTATTGGTCATCAATATTTTGGTGCAATTTTTGAGAAGAACCCTTTCTCTTGACTCATCTACCACTTAAATATGATGTCATGATGACTTCACGATGTGATAAGGCAGACAGGTGAGCTCCATGCTAATAATTTAAATCTTAACTACTTTTACCGGCCACTAAAACTAAAAATGAGAGGACTTGGTCCGTGTGGCACACAGAGTGTGGTTTGTCACAACTACATCAATATTCTGGGCCTGTGAAAAAAAACCACCATAGCAATAATGCTGAGTAAGGTGTATACAAATAGGAGGGTTGTATAGCTACCGACTACAGTCGTGGTCCATTTTAAAGTGAAAGTGGATGGCCATTGCTAGCTGAAGGGCAGTGAAGCAAAACGGAGTGAATAATAGGCAGTGATACAAATTTTACGTTGATTTAATAGTATTAAATGAAAAGAAGACAAAAAGAGGAAAAAATATTAAAAAGATTTGCTTTGATTGAGGTACCTACACTTCTAGAGCTGCCAAACACTGTCTGATCGCTAAAACGCAACCTTGGTGTTGCTTGAATAACAAGTGTGCATCGAATTCATTTCACGTCCATGCGACCTGCATTGTAGTATTGCACCTATCATCCTAACCTTACTATCAGTGGAAGTTTAACACAGTCGGCACGATGTTGTGCTGCGTCATCTCTATTAGCCTCCTCTCTGCACCAGGGGCATCTAGGTTAATACAGGATTTTTCTTCCTTCTAGGGCTTCAACCCTTCATACACCGTAAATTGCGCTTCCATAGAATCCAGGATGGAAAGAAACAACCAAAGATAAATGTTAAAATGATTTGCATTGCCTTCAAACATAGTGCTTTGAATAAGGTAATGCCATTGCGCAAAATATTAACTGAGTCCATGCTGTGTGATTAACAAGGACGAGAAAATGATGTGCACGGAATGGCCAAAAAGCCCACTGACTATAAATGGAAGTGCATACTGCTAATTAATCCAAATTCAAAGTAGCCTTCAAAAAGTTAATCAGCAGTAGGCATCTTGCACTTTGGCCTAGACTTAGGCCAAAAAGAATACGCTACTGCAAAACATTCATCACTGGGTCAACAGACAATGCTTCAGTCTAATGTCTGCTGCCAAACCTGAGCATAAATGCTGCTTCTCTGTAGCTATCATTTGATTACTAACTGCCTACCCATTGGTCACCCATCCAAATTGGAGTCCAGCCAATTCCAATGGCACTACTGCTTAGCAAGTTGAATAAAGAAAGAAAAAAGTGAAGGAGAGGCAATGCAATAGCCCAAGAGAATGAGTATTACACAAGGATATCTGGCTAGCCTGCAGCACATATTTTCCTTACATCTTATTGAGGCGAACATGATCAACTTCATACTTGCCTTGAATTTAATTGAATGACAATTTGTGCAACAATCGTTTACTGGCAGCTTATCGCTGTGTTGTGTTAGAGTTCATACTACGTGGAAGACCAGGTTAGTCGTCTGGAAAAAAAACCAGTCAAAAGAGATCATTTAGAAACGCCTAATCTAACTGGAAAATGGAGGAGATGCTAAGAGTTGAGGCAAATTTATCGGATTTTGATAGAGTAGTGTGCCAAAATGATCCAGAACGTGAGGACCCGATGACGTGCATTCACTTAGACAAACCAGGGAGAAAAGATGAACTAAAGTAGATCCTAGGCTAGCAAGTAGGTGGTAGAGCTAGACACCAGTCTAACGAATTTGCACGTTGTCAAAATCTGTAGAGAATGAGGAAAGAAGGTTATAACAGGTAGTTCTTATAGTTAACAGAACCGCTATTTAACCTCAACAGCTTTCCACAGTTTCATAGGTTCCGCATATCGCACTCGTTTCAGCCTGGCAGCCACGAAATCCAGCACATCACGCAATGGCCTTAGTACAAAGTCGCATTTTCAACAGCAACGCCTTAAATAGTAAGCTGGCTGCTACATTCATGATTACGAATTAGGGCGTGATAGATACCTCTAAGCACTTTGTGAAGTATACGACCACCTCTGTTGCTACTTCAAAGGTTTGCTCTTTTTTGCATCAACAAGTCATTTATTTATAAAAGGTTATCCGCTACCAACAACCAAATGGGCAGGCCAGAAAAAACACCTAAATTTCCTTCGCTGTTTGACAGCTATCACAATCACAAGCCCTGCTTCACGATCAGTACGTGATCCGCATTGAAGATGTTAAAATTGTTTTCAGAAATTTGTCGGAAAGTAATGAAAGTCAAGTCCACCGTACTATGGCTTATCACCTCGAAAGTAGACTAGAACAAAAGAGACTGGTCAAGTAACTCCAATCTGTCTACTAAACAAGTTCAACTTAAACCGAGAATAGATGAAATTCAGGCAAACAATACGAAAGAAGGGATAGGTGGACGTAGGCTACTGAAAAACAGCCCACCAACACCGTTAGATGTCTGAACGGTGGCGACCAGGCTCTTCAACTTTGATATCAACGTAAGGTAGAGGTTCGTCATCTGGTCCGCACAGTGATTCAGGTATTCCTGCAAGTCTTCAATCGCCTGCCGATACAACAATGGGGTAGGAAATAAGATCAAAGCAACAATGGGAGAGGAAAATGTGCGTGCAGTTCATGGCAAAAGGTTGAGTCGGATCAGGGAATAAATGCGACGAAGATAGAATTAAGCATGGCAGTGGAGAGGAGTGATAGCATCTGTCAGGGAGATGGATGTATCTACACTCGTTTCCACTCAACGACTCACTCAGATAATGGCCACCAACGAGCTCACTTCGTCGATGGTGGAGAGTGCTTATGACAGGAGGTGAAAGTATAAATTCCAAAAAGGACTTACTCATCGATTTGTAGAACGTCTATATGAACAAACTGCTTTGGTCAACCCCTTATTTCATGGACTTGTCAATTTTGGGGTTGCAAGTTATTAGTTAAGCTCATGACAGTGTGATCAAAACAGCAATAACCTCTTCTCGTGGCACGCATGTCATCAAAACCGCAAAAAGGCTTCTATACCGTTTTACAAAGTATTCTGCGCGAACTTTACACATCACTGTTACTGAAAACAATTGTACCATAAATACAGCAATACTAAAACTGGGATCATCGGGAACCTGCAGAACATAGCGCAGGAGCTGATGCTTAGTTCTGGAACTCAAATTCATCTCTTTATTTGCCCTCGACCTTGTCTAATGACAGCGACATCCAAATCTGCTGCCAATGAATTTTGCAAAGCTACAAATCTGTATTAAGACTAGCGTTTTCTAATAGATCCTCAGAGGGAGTACATCTGCGATGAAACGGGAGAAGCAGTGGTAGTGACATTGGGAACAGCACTCTTCTCACCATTATCAGCACTGTCGATGCCATCGATTCTGCAAAAGGAGACGTAGACTTCGTCTACATGGAGCTGAAGATCCCACTTTCCTTCTGTCCACGACGGCGGGCAAGGGGGCAGGCATCGTCCTCTGCTTGTGCAACTGCTATCTTGGGTGTCGCTTTTCCATTCCTTCAGTGTGGATCCACTGACACTCAGGTATTGCTTGAAGAATCATTCTTTTACTTGACCTCATTACCAGAAGTGGCTCATCAAACATGCATAAGTGGCTGGTCTTAGATTGGTTTGGTGGGATTTGTTGAGCTTTACTCTGCAACATTTGAATCTTTGGCTTTGTGACTGCTCAGCTGGATATTGTTTGTCAGCCCACTATAATACTCTGGTCAATTTGTGGTCGCCCCTATGGTTTCTTTAACCTGTTGTTCACTGCGTCAGTAGGGGATGGATTTGGGTTGGCTTTCATTCGTTGCATAATGTTCTTTTACTTCATCTCATGAAATCTGTTTTCAGCTTTTCAACTTCACTACTTCAGACTGAGTACGAATTGAGAGTGAATATAGTGACTGAAATGAAAATTGTCATTCTATTTATTAAAAGGCCTTCCATTCCGTGTTCTTAAAATACATCTTATCACTGACGAATAAATCGGTAAATCCTCAATACTCTTACAACATTTGCAAACGGTTGTCTTAATGTGGCAGTGGGAATGCGATGATTGTGGAGATGCCACTGCAACAATGTGCATAGATTCCATTTGGTAATAAACTGCCTTCTTGAATCCATCATTTATGTGTCTCTTGATATTTAGTCAAGAAAATCGTTTTGGGTAACCTTATCACTAGATTTGATCACATTTCTTACTACCCTCTTTCCTGTGGTTAAGTTTATTTGGGGGAAGGGTGGGAGGAAGATGGCTAGTATGCTAACTTTCGCCAAATCAGTTATTGAAAGCAAGGCTAGTTTCTGTCGACTCCACAATACCCGCTTTAGTCAGAGCGTAGTCTTTTATGGATGGCCTTAAAATTACATTTGAGGGTATTTTTCTGAGTCGTTTGTGATACTTCTTTTTCCATTAGAAGTCGTAGCCTTTAGTCACCATTAAATGACCTATCCTAGATAACGTTGCTTCAAAACTGTGCCAACATATGAACACCCTCGTTGCTATGAATGATTTTACTTTCCTTTCGAGGTGGAAATGCCTAGGTTTACTTAAACCGCTGGAAAGTCAGTGGATTGTTAAATGTGTGGGTGGGTGCAATAAGAGGTTGACTGATATTGATGGCGTAGGTGTCGCAACAAACTTGGTAATTGGGAGGATAGGAGGGTGAATGAGTGGATGGCCAGATGATGGATAATTGGGTGGATGTGGAGTGGGTGGAATAGAAATTTGGTTGAAGCACAATTGTCGCAGGCTGTTGAAGTGCATCCTTGATGCGCAGATGGAGGCATGAAAGTCGAGCTGTCTTAAATATGTGACTGTTGGCGACCGTAATGTGCCCAAAATGATCTCTTATCTATGTCTAATTTTTCACTACTTTACACCCTGTATTAGACAACAAAAGAGGAATGAGTTGAGCTGACAAGTTGTTTGGAAGGATTATTAATAGACAAGTTTGCCTCCTTGTGAGAATCGCTTCGAGTCATCCTTGAAGACGTAGTGATGCATGTAACTGGAAGTAGGATTGTTGACGACTTGTAGAAGTCGACCCATTACCGTAAGTTTTCTTCCTTCCTGTCTAATAATGCTCCGTTGAGTAGTACTGACACCGGTAAAGGGGTATGGGCTTTCTACTTTCTGAAGATTATTACAAGCTTTATAGTTGACAGAGGGACGGGCATAAAGGCAAGTAACAGAGCTTCTTGAAAATTTGGTCTTCATTTAGTTGTCGTCTTAAGTCTCCTTGTGACATTCAACCATCTGCAAGAAAGGAAGGCAACTTTGTAAAGCCATGGTATTATTGGCTGTGCGTGGTGATACGGAGGGAGCGAGATTCATTTGGAAGAATGTTCTCAGAGTGAACCCCTCCATTCTATTTATCGTGTCCAGTTTGTGGATTTGTCCGAGAGTAAATTGAGGGAGAAGAGTGTCGTGCTATTGGATTATAATG